AACGCTTTCTCAGTGCTCTAAATTTTAGTTTTTGTGTTTTTTATTATTTTAATATTATATAAATACTAAATATATTAAATATATTTTTAAATATTAAAGATTCATAAAATATATTTTTTTTGGGTTTTAAGATTCAACCTATTTACGGAAGCAGCTATAATCAGTGTTGTTGATTCCGTTTTGTATCGGTTAGTATAGCCGGTAGATTTAATTTCGTTTCGGTTAAGTTTCACCCATTTCAGTCAAATTTTGATGTACTGATCGGTATTTGGACGTATCAACTAACTGTGTTCACGACCACTTAAATTTTTTTTTTTTTTTGAGAAAAAAGATCCCCCTTTTCTAGTGGCCGCCGAACCCCTCTGATGAAAGTGATGAAGGTGCCAAACCCCTTTTCGGTATTTCGACCACCGGTGATGAAGGTGGAAGCTGTGATGATAATGAGACGCAAGAAGATTGTCAAGATCGGAGTCCCCACCGGGGCTTGCGGTTAGATTTGCTTCCTCTTCTCTGGTTTCTTTTTTTTTTTTTTTTTTGGCTGCTTGGTGGTTAGTGAGGGTGATGGCGATGAGAGTGATGATCAGCAAGAGGATGGTGAAGATCGGAGGTGAAAGAACGGAGGTGAAAGAACGGAGGTGATGGTGGCGGTCGCGGATCTGCAGAAGGGAGAAAAATCGAGAGGCTTGTCTCCTCCTTTTTTCTGTCTTCTATTTTTTTTTTTTTCTTTTGTTTGCCGCCCCGTTCGTGGTTCTGCCGTCTCCTTCCCCCCTTTAAAAGAGAGGAAACTAGGGTTTTCTTTTTTTTTTTTTTGGTAGAACTACTAGGGTTTTCTATTATTGCTAAATTTGCGTTTTAATGGGCTGGTTTATGAAATTGGGTTGAGACTTGGACTAAATTGTCGGTGGGCTCAATATTGGGGTTTGGGACTTTGAGCTGAATTTGAGGTTTTATCTTGGTAGATTTCATCCTCAATTTTTTAATTTGTTCGATTGAGTCCTTTTCCTTTTTTTTTTTGTCTTGAACTTCTTTTGCAAAATTTTTTTATAGCGATCAATTTAAAATAAAAAGTTTTGGTGTCTTATACTATCATTTTAGTAACAAAATCGATAAAAATTATGGTATCTGATTCACATGTTATTTCTTTTTTTTTTTTTTTTTTTTGAACGGATTTTACAAGTGCTGAGTTCGAACCCAGCCCTGGGAGAGGGGGAATGCAGCATGGTGGCTATTGCCACTTGGCCCGAAGTGCTCGGTGCGATTCACATGTTATTTCAGCAATATTTCAGTAACAAAACCGATACTAGGCTATAACACCATCAATCTGACCTAAACTAAAAATAAAGTACCTCTCAAAACCGCGTGCTTCAGTGGCTTCTCGTTCCCAT